CAAAACGATCTGATGTGCCTTGAGACGTTGTGTGAAGGGTGGCAGTTGCAAATGAACGTTTCCAAAACAAAATATCTGAACTTCAATCATAAACACACATCAACACTATTTAACTACACCCTTTTCAGTATCCCCGTTGAAAATGTTCATACCTATAAGTATCTTGGACTCATTTCACACCCAATCTTTCGTGAGAAGCACATATTAACCAAGTAACGGCAAAGGCTGATCAAACTTTAGGCTTTCTAGGACGTCACTTACACTTGGCAACACGGGAAACAAAATTGATTGCATACACATCTCTTCTTCGTCCCACGCTGGAATACGCATCTCTCATCAAGAACCCACATCAGTCATATCTTATTTACAAGTTAGAAGCCATTCAAAACCGAGCCACCCGCTTCGTTCTTCGCAATTATACCCGTAGACGTATAACAACACTAAAACAAAAAAAACTAATATTCCCCTTCTAGCTGACCGACGTAAAGTAACACGACTAACTGCCCTTCATCACCTATACTATCATTTACCCTCAAAGAAAGAAACATATTGCTCAGCTGCTAACCACGTCTCGGCACGGACCAACAACTCACAAGAAACTTCAGCTTGCCACTCCTAGAACTAACACTTTCAAATTTTCTCTGTTACAATTATCTATATCAGACTGCAATTCCCTCCCCGACGACATTGTAAGAGTAAAAGAGTCGATTAGATTTCGTTCCGAAATTGCCACTCTTTACAATATGCAAAAAAGAGCGGAAGGAGAGAGAGATTCCTAACTCTTGCCGACTTGTATCTGTGTTGTTGTTTTTGCCCCTCCCCCCCCCCCCCCCCCCCCCTTTATGTAAAGCCCCCACCGAGCGCTAAAGGGTATATTAAACGAAATGCAATAAATGAAGTGCCGAAAATGACCACGGGACGACATCAACCAGTAGCTGCGATCAGAAAACTCAATACGGGGAGTATTTTCAACCCTTTATTTTATCTAAATATTCTCATCCGCTGACGAAACAACTAGCGCTAACCGAGGAAAGTGAGATCGCTGATGTATGTTCGGGATTTACGCTACCGTATGAAGTGTTTTTGTCGAGTTCTTTTTTTTTGTGCAATTCATATTTTACTGTAAAATTGAGTAAGCACCGGCAGTACCCAAAGCGTCTTCTGTAGCGTGGTGTTGAGCTGAACTGACAGTGCTTGAAAACTGCGACACCGACACGATCGGCCTTCATAACAGTCGGTGAAATAAATATTTTTCAACGCTGTCTATTTGGCTACGGCCTGCTATGCGATCGTTTCATTACCCGAAACGTCCTGGGTATTTTGAAGTAAATCAGGTGTCTAGTAGCGGCTGTTTCCAGGTTCCAAGCATCAACAATCATGATCAGAGTGGTCGTTTTAATGCTTTGATTTTTTTATCTTCGTTTTTCTGGATTATTTTTAATATACCTTAGCAGCGGGTGAGTAGGCATGCCACTTCATTTCACTAACAATAATGTGAGCTGTTTTCTTGGCACTTCTAATTTCAACACCATTCTGAACGTCCACGACCGTAGCTGTGACCATTTCTGGCAATCGCTTTCCGTAATTACGCAGTAAAAACATTCATCGAATTATTTTTGCTGCACGCCAGCCTTAAATATTGTTAAATAACATTCTCCGACCCTTTATTTGAGTAAGACGTTATTGATAAGGAACTCGCTCTGCCATCGAAGCTATTTATGTTGTCGTGTCGCCGGCCCCAAATTCGCTCAGACAGCGGTCAGAGTTGCCGAAAGCTGTCATACCGAGGCAACATTTTAGTTGTCATCTATCCTGTGCTGCTGTTGCCACGATGTGACAGGTTTGTCGGACAACGCGGGGAACGAGCAACAAGTTGCCCGACTGTTGGACAACGTATTGTGCTGCTGTTGCCATTGTGTTGCCTGAGTGTGACAGGGCCTTTAAGGCCCTGTCACTCTGAGGCAACACGACGGCAACAGCAACGAGTACATTTAAGTGCATTTAACTTAAATCAACTAAATTCAATTTTAACCATTTTTCTCAGAAACTTTAGACTGTTTCCCCCTTCTGCTATTTGATCATAAAATCCAACGCTTATTGTTTTCTATTTAGTGTATGATTTGCAGTGCTTAAACTGCTTGCGTTTGAGTGTTTAGGTATTGTATATAATTCTCCCACCGAATTATTGTGTCTTATTGTGACTAATATATATATCAATTATTTTTAAAAGTTTCGCACAGTGTGTGTGTTTTTCTTTTCTTTGTTTCTTTTTTCCTTTTACTCAATAATTTACGGAAAAAACTACTGCCGCTGACGAAGCGGGCCCACTGAACGTTTCGGCGGTGATACGAATGTTGGTACCTCACCACAGACAAAAGCAAATATCGGCACGACTTTGCGACGGACGCCCGGGTGAGTAAAGCGCCGAATAATTATCGCGTTTCCAAACGCACTCGTTGAAACACTGGGAAAAAAATTTTCCTCGTGCCTTTGACGTTAAGTAAATGAGGGGAAGCGATTTGCCGGCGCACTGACTTAAATGACTCTGAGGGGCATTTGCAGCTGGATACTTACCCCGTCACCGACTATACAGCATGCAAGTTCATCTGCCCCTTACCCACCTCGTGCGTTTGTTCATCCGCCGAATACACCAACGTGTTTTTATTTCCCCCCAACCTGAACCAATTGCCGGCGCGATTTTGACTCCCTCACCATTACGCCTTTCCTGCGCGTTCCTTCTGTTGCCCTTCATTAACCTGCCCCCTCCCCCTCGCCTTCCGGTGCGCTGAACGCTCATATCGGCTCACTTTCTGGCCGTACAGCAGTTTTGGATACAGCTGTTAAGTTGCTATCTAAGATTTTAGTTTAGTTTATACCATTTATTTACACCATTCTGCTATCTCCGCTAGCATTTGATTTCATGAACATCACATGGAAAATGATCCAAACCAAGAGCGGCGTGGCAGGCCGAAGAGCGAAATCGCAGACCGTGTGCGTGCGCAGGTCTCCAAAGCCGGCGGCAGGAGCTTCCGAGGGCGTCCAAAGCGCGCACCTGCGCGCCGGCCGCGTGAGGTGACACCTAGCAACCGACGTGTAGCGGGTGGCAGCGAGGCTAGGGTGTACTTAGGCCACCGGTGGGCACCGCGAGGCGGTGTGTACTAAGTAAGGTCACTAAGTTCATTAAGGTCACTAAGTACTAAGTAAGGTCACCCCTAATACAAAGGTAAGCCCAAGGTGGGATCAGCCATCCGCAGAATGTCGCCGCTAGGCGGCGTGAACCCGGGGAAGGGGGGGGGGGGGGGGGGGGGGGCGGGGGGCACGCGTTTTAGTGATACCGTTCAATCCAACGTGCGACACCGTTCAATCCAACGTCACCGCATGCACCGAGGCACTAATTCTCACGCATTAATAAGCAGAATTTTCGTAAAGAGGCCTACCATGTAAGCAAGCTTCGGCAGAAAAGAAAAAAGCTGAACAGCGCGATTATTGCTTCCGAGAGGTCGCCGATCCCAGCGAGGAAACGGTGCACCCGATTGCAGCACACCGTCGCACATGCGGAGGATGTAAGCCAAGGTTCAAAAAAAAAAAAAACGCGCGTGCTAGGTCGCCATTCTCAGAGATTCAGCAGGGAAGTTATCGAATCTTTTGCGATAAAAAACTCCGTCGTCAATGTCTCTTCCCCCTCGCTAGCCCTCTCCGATAGAGAGAGAGATTATCTGAGCCAAGAGCTGTCCGGGGTGATTAGACGACCTCGGTGAGCGGCCCGACCCCAACGAGTCCACGCACCCAGCCGCCTCTCCCACCCTCCCTTCCTTCCTCTTACTTCCCCCTCTGCCTCTGCCCTTTTCCCCCTTTCCCTAAGTCTGCGCAGGGGAACATACGTTCGCACCCCATGGAATAAACTTTGTTGAGAGTTGAAAGAATGTACTCGTCTGTGTTTCGTCCTCTCTCTGTTTTATACTTTCTGTTATCTAGTACATCGTACCAACACGCTCGTTAGGAATATAATATTGCTTTTTGTTGCCAATCTTTTACATATTTCAAAGGTTGCAGAAAAACTGTCCCTGTTTGTGCAGTGTTAAATTTTAAAAAGCATGCAGTTTGTTTTAGTTATGGAGGTATGTTAAGCCCACTGTTGACACAGCCTCTAAATAGAAATCGATCTTCTCGATTGCATGCTAATCAAAACTGTCTGTAATTATGTAATTTGTCAGATTTACATATTCTTAATCTAATTTCCTGGCTCTGCCAAATGCGGAACCAGGATTTCCATAAAGTACAACGAAAATAAGTTGAAAGCAAAAAAAAAACAAAAAAACTGAAGGTATATTTTTAAGCCTTGCGGGTAATTTTAGCTAAACATCGAACATAAATATATAAACAATCAAAATCATCGTAGTTAAGAAGTGCTAAGACATATATCCTCTATCGGTTTTCACAGAAACAGACAAAGAAGCTCTATATTTCTGCCGAAGCGCCAACGCCTCCCAGCAGGTACTTCTCGAAGCCCAAACGACGTAGTACATAACCGGAAAAAATGGATCTGTCTGTGCCCTATAGGCGGGCTGTCTCTTCTATTTTTAATTTTCAGAGCGACAACCAAAATTTTACATAAAAGCCCAACAAATCGAACTGGCATTAGCCGATGTGGATGCGGAGACCCCTCGATAGTTGTGAATAGCGGGGCTCGGCCCTCGGGGCTTCTGTGCCCGTAGCCCGCGCGTAACGCCGGACGTGACTAGAAGCATCGCAGGCACATGACACTTTAGGCACCTAAACAGATTATTGCGTTAAAGACTGATAGACGCAGTTGAAATAAAAACGTTAGTAAAAATGTTTTTATAACTGAAAGAAATGAATGGGGAGCACGGATAGGCACCGGAACATCGCCGTCTGCTGACAGCTGTGTGTCTTAAGACCCCAGATGTCTTATTTATTGCTTGGAGCCGCGAGAGAAAGCGAGACCAAGAACTCAAATGTCTTTGGGTGACGCGTATCATTTACATGTACGTTCCGCCCGCTACATCAACCGGCGATCCAGTCATGTAAGAGGACTTGTTGCTGCACAGGAAGAGGATCACTTCCGCTATTTCGAGGGGTTGTGCGTTCCGCTTCATGGGCACTATTTGCTGTAACCTCTTTCGCTTGGTTTCGTTGGAGTACTTCTGAGCCATCGGTGTTTCGGTGCCTCCGGGCAGGACGACGTTGACTCGGATGTGCGACGTTCCGAGCTCACGGGCCACGGATTTTGTGAACGCGATCACGCCACCCTTGGATGCTGCGTACGCACTCACAGTGGGGAAGCCACCATTTCCAACTATACTGGCAATGTTCACTATAGCCCCTAGTGTGTCGTTGTCGGCCAGCATGTATCTCACAGCTTCCTGTGTGACAAGGAACGTTCCCTGGAAGTGAAAATGCATAGTTAATTCTTGTGGAAATACCACTAATGTGGCAGTTAGGAAGCGCTTGTATTGTAAGAAGAGAAGGTATGCCGGGTCAGCTGGCTAGGAACATTATTTTTTGGTTCATTGTTTAGGCTATAATCTTTTAATTGCATTAGGAAAACGATGCAAGCAGATGTTAAAATATTGGCCAAAAAATAGGTTTACGTTTTGGCACATTTTTTTCTTAAATTGAGCCATTCTCAAAATTTATTAGTGACTTTTCTATATCACTAAAGTTTCCACTGTTTTATACTTTTCAAAAAGGTTCGAAAGACTGAATATATTCTCATCAAATAGTGTTCATCTGTTTGTGAAGCCTATTGAGAATTCAGGAGGCCAAGAAGCCTTCTGCGGTATAGTTTACAGAAGCACAAACAGGCGCATGGTAGCAATATGGTGTTAATATTCAACGTTCTAACTAATGAGAAAAGTCAACAAACACGTGTAACGTGTTCTATAATCTGATGGGCCATAAGTGTCATCGTTGTCTTTCTTTGCAACATTTTAAAAGCGACACTAAGGCAGTTACGGCTGATTTAAACTGTCATCAAAACACAGCACGGGATTTTATGCTTATTTGTGTAAAAATGTTATTCGTAACATCATTATTAAGAATTTTGTGCTAATACACTCATACAGATAGCGTCCTAAAAGGTGATTCAGTTATTCATTCCCAACACGCAATGCGGTTCTTAGGTCATGCGAAGTACCTTTAGGTTTGTGTCCACCGTATTGTCATATGAACATTCAGACAAGTTGACCAGGAGCGTCGGCTTGTGCATGATACCGGCGCTGTTCACCACAATGCTAATGTTCTTATCAGGGTAGGCACCTTTGACGCATTCAAACATTTCTTTCACCAGGGTTGAATTTCTTACATCAACATAAGCGGTCATGTGTTCGCTTTCTTGCCCTGAAATGACTGTGAAAAAATGCGCATGCGAGAATTGAATATCTTTGAAAAAAATGCCAACTAAGACATATATAATAAATATGAGTCAATTCTGCTTTGGAAGACAAACCAAATATTCTTGATTGATCATTGAAGGATAATTGACCTGTCCGGCAAATTAAAGCTTGTAATGTTCTCACTTAGACTTTCAATAACTTTCTAGTCTTATCGTTCTTTCCTATGGGTTGATTCAGTTAGTAATGAAAACAAAAATGAGTGAATAAAACAAAATGCTTACTACATTTTTTAGGGCGAAATGCTGGCCTAGGGACTGGTATCAAACTATATAATTCGAAACCAGACCGACGAGCCTTTGGCTATCACTCCGAGGCTTATTGCACTCAGGTAGCCAAGGTAATTTTTATTTTGTTTACTTATTTATTTATTTATTTATTTTAACCCTAAAGGCCCTTTCGGGCATTACATAAAGGGAACGTGATACAGAGATTGGTACAACTGAACCAAGTAGGAAAAAAAAGTAAAAGATAATTAATAATGGTACAACGCGTAAATTGAAGGCAGAAAGCATTTGGCGCAATTTTGGCCTTCAAACATAAGATTTAAAAATATGGTGTTTGGATAACGTTAAATATCCTGAGCATTAATGTACAGTACTTAAAAAAATATTTCGTTTTTTTTTCTAATTACCAAATATTTTTGCACCCATTTCTTGAGATGAAGATACCGACCTTCACTAAAATTATGCTCCTTAACACGACTCGCCCCATTTATGAGAAATGTTTGGGTCGCGTTTTCTTTTGCTGTAAAACAATTTGATAAAAGACGACAACGGTTCATGAAATTGGATTAAAAAATTGGGGAGTGAGTGAGGGGAGAGGTGAGCTGGTTTATGTTACACATTTCTGAAAAACCGGACAACATGAACGAGAAGGGGGAAAAACACTGAACATCTTCCAACACAGCTACTAAACTTGATTGCCCACAATGATATATACATCATCTCACACGTCTCCCGGCAATGTGCTCACGTTTTCGTGACCTTCAGCTAGGATTACATCTAGTCTTGGCCTCAATTCGAACCAGCGATCGCAATCGTGCAAAGTAGTGAAACCTATTATCCAATTTATACATTAACACAAAAACCGGACCCGGCGCCACCCTTGCAAATCCGTACAAACGCTCCCCACTGACGTCTGTTAAGGTAACATAAGAAACAAAACCATTTCTTTAGAAAAATTACAAAACCAAAACGTTTCGGGTTGCCCTACCTTGGGCGATAGACGATTGAGTGATACGATTGTCCTTCGGGGGTACCTTTTACTGTCTCCTTCAAAACTCTTTTTGTGCAATATTTTTTCTTTGTTAAAGGACCATGAATACGATTTGGAGGTCCAGTTTTAACGATTGAAAAAGAAGTCACATGTATTGAAGGAATGTTGTCGAGGTTTTCTTCCGATTTACAAAAGTGGTGATCTGGTCGCCATCGTTGCCTGAAATTACTTTGAAACAAATGCGCGTACAAAGCGTGAATAACTATGGGCAAAAACAAACATAAAGATATATGGTGAATGTGGGTGATTATTAGTTTGAAAGCAAAATTGTTAGTGTCCGGCAGAACAAAGCTTATTATTTTCTCAATGAAACTCAGAATCACTGTCCAACGTTTCACTTCCCTTTGGGTTACATCGGTTCCTTGTAAAAAAATCGATGATTCAACAAAGATAAAATATAATTATATTCACTAAATATTTTAAAATACAAATGCTAACCCAAGTGTCGGCAGCAAGGTGAAGTTATTAAGGGTAAAGCGATATGCTTGAGGCAATCAGACCGAGGCTAACTGCACTGAACCCGAATGACTGAGATGCCGGCTTAAAACAATAAAGATTACCGGTGATAAAAATTAAACCTTAATTATTAATTTTATACGTAACATGCTCAAACTGGTGGGGGTTTCTCTAATGTGTATTATGGTCAATACCAACTTGCAAGCAATTATTTCTGGAGATAAATGCACCCAAGCCTCCTCTAACATTAAATATTTGCAATCACACGACACTCCTGCTCTACTAGATTACTGGAAGCGCAAAATGATTTTATGTAAATATAGTTAGTAAATATAATCCAATAATATTCAGGATTGGAGGGTCAGTTAAGCAAATATCGCGCTTATTTTTAATTAGGATTTAAAAAGGTAGGTTTTGCAGTTTCCGTGCTTCTACTGCGTACATTAGTGCGCATTGACCCTTGACAAAATTTCTGAATGTGTGCATGTTACTCATGCTCCCCTATCTGCGTGTGTCTTTTTATTGTTATGAAGAGATAATGGTCGTGTACTTATAACTACAGAATTAATTATCAGAAATAAGGTGTAGGGAACTAAGAGCAGAACAGCTATTAAGCTATCCCATTGTGAACACGATCATCTTCGCAACTAACAATCCGAGTTGCACCATTGCTGGAGTTCAGACTCCTATACCGTAATATCCCGAAAGATAGCCCCTAAAATCTAGAGAAAATCGAGTAAAAGTAAGTTGTGGGTTAACTTTCGGTCTGATCAAAAAATGCAGAAAAATTTTTATTTTCATATCATGTGTCTCTGCCAAACTTCTTGTCGCAGCGACGGGCGATTAACGAAAGATGACTGTACTTCCCAGTCAGCAATGATCAATCATATCCCGCCATAGCTAACTAGACGCATTTACGCCGATGTCATCATTCATCCCAACACCACGATTACTAGGAAGTAGCTATTTTTTGGTGTTTAAAAGAAAATATCTAGCAAATCAAGCCAAAAATAGGTTGCGGGTTATCTTTCCAGTTGGGGTAACTCTCGAGATTTTACGGTAACTATATGGGACTGTTTCATTACATATTGCTTATTGCCAGTGCATTATATATAAAGCATAGGAAAACAAAGACCACCTATATCATATTAACATTAATGTCCTATAATGCGGCAAGCATATCGTATACACTTAAACAATTATGGAGCTCAGTCAACTGCTCGGTAAAACAAAGCTCGTTCATTGTAAGTTAAAATCTCGGCGCGGATGAAACATTTCCCATATTTCTTTCTTTTTACAATTTACTACACGTCAAATCGGTGTGAAGCCTGCGTCATTTTACACAAGTGTACTGAAGAAGTTTATGCGGCCCTGTGATTTTTATTGAAAGAAACATGCAATATGTTAAGTATACAGGTTTTATTGACAAAATCAACCGGATGTGTCAATGAAACAAGAAAACAGCACAAATTGGCGACGGGTCAGAGGACAACAGAGGCAAAACAGATGGTGACTATCAAAGATTTTTCTTTTTGCGAAAAAATGAAAACACAAGACATAACCTATACATACTCAGTACATGGTTTCCTAATAAAAGAATCAGCCATTTGTTACTGCGTCGCCTGGTGTGACTGTCTTATTCTGGACCGTTGCCCTTTTGCGCTGTATTCTCGTTTCAATTCATCACCAGGTCGCCCAGATTTTTACGCTGCTACATAATTGTCAACATTCACTGGGAATCGAGCAATCAGCAACAGTTACCCCTGTTTATTTTAGTCGCAAATATTGTCCAGAGTAATTTACTTCTAAATTCACCTAATTTTGTACGTATGTTCTGACGGAGTCACGTTGTTTTGATACAGGAAGGCTTACCATAAAACGTTATCTTCAGTTCATAACGCTGGCATGATTAACTTAGATAAATACTTACTTTCTCAACTGGATAAAGATTTCATCAGTTTTCCGCGGGGTTGTTAGCGTATGCTAGAATTGTTCAAGTTCAAAGTCATATTCTCACGAAATTGCATAACTCGCCAAAAAAATAACTGTCTAAACGTATTGGTCAATGTCAGTATAAAACAAGCAGTAGCTGAAGACGGCGAACTACGTCGTTCCAGGAAATAGAAAATATAAATATTTTGTGGTAGGTAGTCTTCTTCGACCTATAAAGTTTTTTGTTTTTTTTATTATTACACAAAGTCTCAATCAGTTTACGCATCTCTAATAATCAGCATAAAATCAGCCTTGAGGCAAGCTTCTTTATGATACATGACACAAACTAAGTTTTTTAGTTCACTCACAAATAAATGTAAGGAGGTACAATATTTCAGTATGGTTAAGATAAATTAGTTGTTATTCGTGCTATTAATTACACGACTGAGGGGCATACTACATACATTGTTCATCTCTTCCTATAGTATATGCGTTTTTGTTGTCACCAATAATTAAAAAGTGAATAATCTGATCCTGGTGAACACAAACCTAAAGGTGCTACACCCATTTCTTCTTTAGAATAAGGTATAGAACGCCGAAGAGACGCAGATGCTACTTAAATTGTAAGTGATGGAACCCACCTTTCAACATGTCGAGGGTTATTTGCGAGCCTGTTGAGTTTATGTCAGCCACCACGACTATGGCGCCCTCGCGAGCCAGAACTAAGCAAACACTCCTGCCGATTCCACTTGCACCACCTGTGACAATCGCCAGTCTACCTTTCAGCCCATAGGAGGAATTTCCTATGTCGGGCATATTCGTAGGTGATGTTTCATCCCATGCGGAATATGTCGCTTCATTCTCTTCTCCATAGCATTTATCCAAGTCCACATTTGAGCAGGATGAAAGGTATCTTGTCAGAGCTACACAAAATGCCAAGTAGTAGGCAGAACGCTTAAGAATTAACATCGTGAAAAGAAGTCGATAGGTTTGTTTAGAACGCAAGGAAGGAAACACACATTCTAAACCAGAATGTTTTACGCTGCGCTTATATATAAACCTGAAACAAGGCGGAAACATAGAAACATCCACCTTCCATATGACGCAAAAGATGATACAATAGCACCATTCGTCAATCGACGCCCTATAAGAACACGTCGAGACCACTCCTATATTAAAAAAAATGGCGAAATGAAAAAAATAATAAGATAGGTTTACATCGGTTGAGTCTCCGACTTTTCTGCGTCGTTTCTTCATACCATAACCTCTAAAATGAATTAACAGCAACCGAACGTCTAGAGCGCTCCTAATCGTATGATGGCTTGTGCGGAGGGGGATCTGCGGCTGAGAGTGTTAGCGCATAGCAGTTCGGGGCACGTGGAGCAAACTGCAATACTCATGTGAGGCAGTCTTACATGAGACTGGCCCCCGCTAGGAAGTCTCAGGGGAGACTTCCTCATAGGAGGCTGCCTTTTCGCGCTGCAGAACCCAAGGATCCCGAATTCAAACCCCACCCCTGCCCGTTTCGATCTGGGCGAGAATCGTACCGAACCGCGGTGGTATATCCCTACTCCGTGATGCACGTTAGAAACCCCAAGGCCGGTTTGCTGGTGAATGCGGCTATTGATTCCGGTAGTTAAAATAGCAGCAAGAGAGATTCTGAGGCTGCGTGACCTGCTCCGTGAGAAGAAAGAACCTAGCGCTCTAACCGATTACGTACAGCAGACGTAAGCCTTGCTTCCCGTTTTTTTTAAATCTCGTTCAACACGACCTTCCCCAGAAATATATTTACATACCGCTCTTGCATGAACGCGATTCATTTCACTTACGTTTCGCACATATTCACACACTTCTGCACGCGAAATTGAACTGGAATAATCGAAGCAAGGACGTGCTTACTGCAGCCTTCTGCCGCTTGGTATCTTTAGTTTCTTTACACCATGGAGCCGGTCACGTCACCTCAAAATCCATTTGGCAGCTGTTTTAACCACCGGGAGAGATAAACGCATTCACCAGCAAACCAGCCCAAGCTAGGGCTAGTACTGCACTGGATACATTTCTATTTTACAGTGTTAACCAGTGTCGCCGCACATCAAAGGCAGCCGACCTTACGCTGGTCAGAATGCCAAACACGAACGTCAAATGAGGCTTTGGTTTTTGGCTGGAGATGGCAGGGCGGACACAAGTACTGCGTCAGCTTCCGGCTGAAAATTATGTTGTCACTGCATGTACCACAGTCCAGTGCCTCCTATATAAGTTACACTATGCCTGTCAGCTTCTCTCCAAGAGGTGTCCAGGCCCGATGCTTCACCTCACAACACGCAGGATGGATGGATGGATGAATGCGGCTGAGCCCTTTGGATCGGGCGGTAGCTTATGCCACCTAGCCATTTTTTTTACCATTTAAGCTTAGAATATTAAAATGTGAAATCTATATTCACTCCGCACTGCAAAGAAAGTCGGGCTATAAAACCCCCTTGCCATCAGTTAATAAGAAAATACCTAGTTTTCCCTCACTTTCTGCCACCATTCACTTAATCTTTGCTTGGTAATCTCTAGTCTTGAAATCCACTCTCCCTTCGCTGTCTCTAAAACTCAATGACTTTACTAAATCCATGTTTTCTTCGGTAGGCATAGGGTGAAGCCCTTTACAGTAGATTATCAAGTGCTCAGCCGTCTTGTTCTCCTCTCCCCAAGCAGTGCACACTGTATCCATTTCCTGCTACCTCGCTCTGTATGTTCTGGTTCGCAGAACACCCGTCCTCGCCTCAAACAACAATGAGCTTCCCATAGAATTGTCATAAATGCTTTCTTTGGCAATAACTGTTTTGTTTATTCTATAGCCTTCCAGAGCCGTCTTTGTCTGCATTCCGTCTAGCCACCGATCTCTTTCTGTGGCCTTAACTTTCTTCTTAACTGAGACCTGCTCTTCTGTATTTCCACTATAGCCTAAACACTTTCCTCTTAATTTCCTAGTGGGCTGTCCCCATTTTGTGTCTATGTAAAAATGTAAAAATAGCTAAAACCTTTCGTGCCCATTGGTCCCCATCCATTTGCCTCAACCGATCCTCAAATTCTATCTTGCTCACCGCTTCCCTGCTCTCAAAAGACGCCCATCCCATGTCTCCTTGTACTCCCTGGTTTGGCGTTTTGCAATGTGCCCCCAAAGCCAGTCTACCTACTCCGCGCTGTTTCATTTCTAGTGTTGCATGCACTTCGGATTTCATGCATAGTACTGCGTTTCCAAAAGTCAAGCCAGGGACCATGACCCCTTTCCAAATCTTTCTCATCACCTCATACCTGTTGTAATTCCAACGTGCTCTATTTTTCATTACAGCTGCATTTCTGTTGCCCTTACCTATTATATACTTTTCATGTTCACTGAGATATTCTGCACCGTCACATAACCATACTCCTAGATACTTGTATTTACTAGCTCTCTCAACTGTAATATTCTGTATTTTCAGCCTTTCAACTTCATCATTGTTAAAAATCATAACTGCTGATTTTTCACTACTCAATTCTAAACCTAATTCCTCTCCTTCCTTACGGCTAGGTAGCGCCGCCTGGCGGGCGTTCGTTTCTTCTATTTTTCTAGCATGTTGTATTTACATTATTATTGAAGATATATCATGTATCTGTTTTTTGAATCGCGCGCATAGAAATAGTTGGCGCCGGGTCGTGTGCGGGTGAAAAGGTAGGAATATAAGAAGTAATATTCCGTTGAAAATGGCGAGGTGGTCCCGAGCTGCCAGTCAAAAACATTTAGATTGTTTTGCTGTCGGTGCTGCTGGGGCGACATCATTGAACCTTCTACGGAAGAGATGGTTGGCTTCACTGCATGGCAGATTTGTACGCCTAGGTGGCTCCAGCGCACGGCAACCGCACGTACTATTTGCCCTCTCCCTTCCGCTTGCCAGTGTTCGGAGCTGACAGGTACAGTTTAACTTATGTAGGAGGCACTGCTTCCGTCCAAACGCTGGCGCAGCAATCGTGTTCGGCCTGTGCCCAGCGCCGACCCATGGTACGTGGCGTAGTACGTCCGGTTTCTTACTCCGTTCATTCCTAAGCTGAAAGACGGCTGATTGGTCACGCCGAACCAATCAGCCCCCTCTTTTTCATTACCTGACCCGCCACCCTGCCCGTGAGTATGGGTAGAAACCTGATCACGTGACGCAAGTGAGGCGTATGACTGGTCCAATAATGACGTAGATTCCACCTAGTCTCAGCTTTGCGGTGAACGAAGCATAGGGCCTTGCTATCTAGGAAGTGCTGGCCTCGCCTCTGGCAATATTTACCTCGTTTTCGGAACCAACCCAAGTAGCACAGTTCTTTCAGCCAAGAATTTCACATTTCTTTGGCAATTTAGGTACTTGGAAGTCCGAAGAAGCAAAGGGATAACTAAGCTTGATATCCTTTGTTCAAGGTATGGGTGTTTTTTAGCTAAATTTCCAAACACCTGTCAGAGTTGGGGTTCACTGCCCGGTGGTTCTCTCTGACAGCCACGGTTATCGCGATAGTATTTCAGAAATTCATTATGTATTTATATTTATCTATCGCGATACAATTTTTCAAATGTATTTTGTATTTCTGTAGCCACTTACATTTTCGGGTGTATTTCTAGTAACGTGATGCCATTAAGGGCCGATTCATTTTGTTACTATTTTCATGAAATCGTTGACCTCGACAAACAAGGTGAAGACCAAGTTTCATCTGGGACGTTTTGTCTCTGACCAGATATGACCCTCTTCATCTGCAAACGATTACAAATGTTTTCTCGGACTTGCGCTGATCCATCTCCTTTGTAGATCCTTTGTAGACCAAGCTCACAGCCGGTTTCATTACGCCACCGCTGCCACCAGGCATCGTGGGACCTTTAGTCTTTCCGCACGCGCGACGACCCCACTGAGGGCCTCCGCGCGCAGAGCAGGAGGCAGCACGAGCTGTCCCATGAACTGGCGCCTGCCTCCTATGAAGCACAGTTAAGGCGGCGCCACGCATGCGCGGAACGCTTCCCTTATATCGGAAGCGTCTATTGTTTAGGGCCCTGTCGCCGCGCCTAACCTGCAGATAAAGAAAATTACGGGCTCCTTAAACTTCATTCATTGGGGACGTCGTAAGGTTGAAGGCCCGTTCACAGTCTTGCGACCTCTTAAACCGGAGAACACATTGGCGCCATCTATTTGGAAGCAGTGTAAACTTGGCGGTCCGGCATATTTTTTTTATTTCTCGCGCATTATCCTTTCTTTCTTGGCTCGAAAAACTTTTGTCAATGCTATAAACGAGCCTTTCTATGGGTATTACGCACATTTGACCTGGGAAATCCCGCAAAACCTTCGCTCTTGTGAAATGCAGTTCCAGGGTCACCGCGTAGATGGCGCCGCAGTGCCAGTCTGTTCCCTCATTCTAAAAACATTCAAGAAGTTTTAAGAGATCTCGTCTCACTCAGTCGTACCTGGTCGTACTCGGTCGCAACAGGGTGAACGGGCCTTAATGCTGAAGGAGGCGCCCGGATTGGTCAAAATCGCGGTGACTTCTCGAGCTTGTTCGGGAGAACACACAACAAATTTAGAGGTTCCTGCGATTTTGCTTCAAAAGGATAATCGACGCCGATAAAAACCCTAAATTTAATTCCAGCGAAAATATGTTGTAGTCAAATTAAGACTGCATCTTAAATCAGGAGCTTATTTGTTGGTTTATAAAAAATTATCTTGAATGCTAGATTATGCTTATGGAGCATTTTATATAATGCTTCTTTCTTCCCCTTTTTATACAGCACCATGTGCATTTAAATAGTTTTTTTTATGAACCAGCCACGGCACTGATATCACCTCACCTCAGGGGGTGCATGTTGCTTTGCATAACGCACGCCCTGCACACAGGCGAAGCCCCTACATACCGCTGCGTTTAAGAGTGACTGCGGTACGTCGAAAAACGAAAGCCGAGTCACCGGCACATCTCTGCTTCGTATGAACCGTGGAACCAATTCAAGGAGCAGCTTGGCAAGCGACATAAAG